GGAAGGTGTGCGTCTCCGGACGGCACCTCTCCAGCAGGCATGTAATGAGGGGATTGTTTGTCGGGACCCGCCCCATCCGAAATAAAGGCCCGAATCCGGCCTTGTCGATCGCCTCCCATGTCCGGGCATTCTGCTTGTTGCCCTCCAAGGCAGCCCAGAACTTGGTGTCCACACGGCGTGGCTTAACCACGCCGTGGCGAAACCCCGGTGCGTCCTCATATACCGCCTTGGATCGGTGGCGATTCTGAGGATATAGAAGTGACGGGTCACTGGGACCGGGGTGTGGGGTGTAGGGTTGAGGGTTCGAGGATGACGAAGTCATTTTCTGCAAAAATGACCGAGATTGTAATATATGTTAATTTTGAATTGACCGAGATTTATATATTATTTAATAAATATTATTCAATTAAGGAAATAATTACGCAGATCGTGTAAATTCGATTGATTTATTCAATTACAATTTCTTATCAAATTAGAATTATTCACGAATAAAAATTAGTTCAGTTGAATTATGCTTGTGTTGCATATTGGTTTGTTGAGTACAGCCTAGCTGTTTTAATTATTCACGAATTTCCCACATGTTCTCTTTGAATTATGCTTTTGTTGCATATTGGTTTGTTGAGTACAGCCTAGTTGTTTTATCATATAAATAAATAAAATTAGTCATTAATCCTTGAATTGAAATTATAATTGTACTAAATCGAGTTCGTTTCCACCTATTCTTATTGTAACCCTATAGTCATCGATATTCATAATCGAGCATAATATTCACTATCAACAATATCCACCAATATTTACCAATATTTACAAACGAGCACAATATTCACAATCGAGCACAATATTCACTATCAACAATATCCACCAATATTTACCAATATTTACAAACGAGCACAATATTCACAATCGAGCATAATATTCACTATCAACAATATCCACCAATATTTGCCAATATTTACCAATATTTACAAACGAGCACAATATTCACAATCGAGCACAATATTCACAATCGACTATGCACAATTAACATATTTAACTAAATCGAGTTCGATTAATACGGCAAATTCAAATTCAACACGGTAAATACATCAAAAAATTAAAAATTTAGAGAGGGCTGAGCCTCGGTACCGTTCTCGGGAGAGGGCAGCGGCGGCGGCGGTCTGAGGAGGAGAGGGCAACGGCGG